TGGGCCTTTCGTACCCGAAATTCGGTACAACTGGACATTTACATTTTTTCTATTTATAGATAATATATATTACATAAATAATCGAATAATAACAAATTCTCATTCGTTTTTGAATTACATTGCACTTTGCAGCCTTTGTACTAGAGGCCTACAAAAATGGCCCTAATTACAATCTCAATTATCTGCATTTTGTACAGAATGGCCAGCATTAGACAAGAGTTTTTCAAGTCAACTGCATGTACAAAACTAAATGGAGACTACTAAAAAACATATTTTCACTTTGCAAACATGTTTACAAAATTATAAATGCAGGAGGAAATCCTGACATGCAGAATTTAATGATATTCGCTCAGCATAGAATACCTATTGTTCCAATCCATCAACAATACTTTCTTATCTGTTGATTTTCTATTAAAAAAATCAAAGTAAGAATTTCATTTCAGACTACAGTTTTGATGGTTCCTGATTCGATATTTATGTTCTTGACCACTCTGTACATATATTTTCATCTCAATCAAATGTAAAGTGAATAACTCTTTCAAAATAAAATCTTTGGACAAAATAATAATGGCACAATAACAATGGTTATTAAATTAAATACATTTTGTACTAAATCAAGGTATTGCAGGAAGTTGTCAAGTGTTCGACAAAAGAACAAACTTCTCAAACTTTTTGCATTATCTTAAATTAAAAATAAAACAATTTGAGCAACTTTAAACGGGAAAAATTTGTTAGTAAGATGAATTGCTATAATAACACTAAAAAACTGGGAAGAGGTAGGTAATGAAAAAAATAATGGGTTATCGATTGACAAGTTTACGGGGTCATAAGATTCAATTTCTACATTATTTTAAACGATGTTGAGGTAATCTCAAGTATTTTATCATCTATTTAACGATCGACACCTAAAATATTTACATTTTTTACACTAGACCAAAATAGTATCGAAAAACGTTGAAATATTTTTCTGGCAATTTTCAAGGAACAAGTTCGAAAAAAGTTGAAATATTTTTATGGCAATTTTTAATGAGCAAGTTTCTCGAAGTGAACAATTGTCTCTTTGGAATTCGATCAATTAATGGAAAGTATGTATATGAAATATGCCTATATAGTCTCCTGCCCATATGATGGCCCACCCCTTTTATTTTCGAATATTGCGCCCTCACTGTCCAACCGGATTCCTTCGTCTCCCGCTGCATTTTTTGTGCATTGTACAACAGCATAATGTGATGGCATACGCGAATTAATGAATAGCCGAAAAACACGATTCATAAGCCAAAATAATTGTGAAAAACTATTTCAATAAATACTGTCTGTGAGTTAATCGAGGAGGTGGTACATTCATTTTTCCAAATTTTTTGGGATTTGCTCCCCTCGTTTCTATTAAATAAAAATATGAATATTATTTCAATATACGTGTAGTAAGGACAAATCAGATGATTTGCCCCAAAATGTCACTGCGTTTAAAGAATGTTCCTATCAGAGAGCCTAAAAGAAAAATTCACTAGCTTGTCAGTGACAATTTGTATTGAAAAAAGTTTGGAGAAGAGAAATAAAGGTATATAGAAAAAATATCAAATTTTTACTTATCTTTGGACGTTTCGGGACCGATTCTGCTCCCGTTTTCAACATGAGAAGAGATTATTTCAATAGCGAAGTCGTATATGTCTTGAAGCTTTTCAGTTTTCAATGACAATTGGTGACGTTGGCATGAAAATGGTAAATTCAAGATTGATTAATGCAATTATCCTGTAACTCATTTGATTGAAATCATCTGATTTGTCCTTACTACACTTATTTTGAAATAATATCCATATTTTTATTTTATAGAAACGAGGAGAGAAAATCCCAAAAAATTTTGAAAAATGAACTATTTCAATCATTTGTAAACAAATAAAAAAAGTGAGGTTGTGTTTCAATGTTTCACCGCCAGGGTCGGCCATCTGACAGTTCTTGCACGCAACTCATGGCAAACAACTTTCAAATCCCATATTTCAGTTTTTTGAGGTTATGCTGTCGCTGTCATTTCGAAAGCCACTGAAATTCGTCCATCATCTCTGTACATCGGTGGAATAGTTTGCAATTTTGGTTGACACAACAGTAATAAACGCGTGTTAACGTCAAAATGAAATTCACCAAAGAATATAATTATGACCGCAGTTGGTGGATTGATGGAGCCACCGGTGAATAACAGATCGTCACTCCATGTATAAAGCCTTTCTAGTCAGTTGCTTCTGGTTTTCAGAAGCTTTCACTTCACAATAGTGATTTAACGAAATAAAATTCAAATTGGGAAAGTATCAATACGTTCATTTTGACCCCAATTTGCATTTCCGTGCATGCCACATCAAATGCGCTGGCGTCAAAAATCGGTGCGAGCAATTTGTTTTCGAATTATGTAGTTGAGTTAATTCTTCATTTCGAGTTTTCTATGCATTCTATCCATTTGTATTTATTCAGATTTTAGTATTTTATATGAAATAATTATTTTAATAATAAAAATGAATCTGTACAGCGGTAACCTTGGGCACATTATGTTTCTATGATGCAACACACAGAGGATTTCAGAAAATTGCATATGATTGGCATATGATTGGCACTATTTAATTTGTTGTTGAGAATATATAAGGATACCTAACATTGAAGAACAATTGATAAGGAGTCGATAAGTTACTCGATGGTATTGAATAAATTCATAACACGAGAATTTTCAGGCAAATTCCCTAGAGGGGGGCATCATAGGCACATTTTCCCCCTAGTTTACAATTTATCCAAATGAAAAATATTCAATTTTCTATACGAGAGTATATTTGCACAAATCATTCTCTAATGTACAACCGCTGTACCACAGTAAATCCTAAAATCTCCTTATCGCGTTCGATTCAAAAATCCATTTTCGCAATATAGGATACCAAATCCCACTTTCCTCGTCACTCCATCAACAAAGATAACGAAAAATCACCAGAAATTCAGCTAATGACTGGCAAATACTCGGCAGCCATTACGATAACGCTTATCTTTGGCTTTTGATTCGTGTATACGATATATACGATGGTACCTTATCATCAATCATCTTATTCGTCACAATCACACAATCATATTAATGACTAATTTTCTTCATTTCTACCACGCTGTTGTCAAGCCCCAACGATATAGCAATTTGTGAACTTATTTATCTGGTTTCAGCAGGACGGGGCATAATAAATGGATTGGAACAATTTTATGAAACTATATAGGGTGTGCCATTTGAAATAATAAAATTGACAAGAATTTCGGAAAAACTGAAAACGTGACAACATTGGCGATAAAATCTCGAAACACTTTGTTCCACACTTGTGCCCATCCCTGTATTTCCTGCTTGATTTCTCCAGTGAAAGAAATTTTGCACTTTCTGCTACATCAGGAGGTGTATGTTTGATAGTTCACTGTCAGTTTTTTTCAATATTATCGTTCACGAACTGAAATGCTGTCAAACAATGTTACTTCATAGAAATGGTCAACTTTATGTTGAGGTTTTGATGAAGTCGATGGCTACTTTGCTCATTGGAGAAACTTTGTGAAATGTTAACATCACAATTGAGTCATTGTGATATCAGATTCGAAAATAAAATGGATGACATACAAAGTACCTCGTACACAGTGAGAGAAGAGCAATTTTGTGTTATAGCCGTGGAGAAAATCATATTTCTTGATGACTTTCATATATAAAATGTGTCATTGAAGTAAATTATGAGTATATAGGGTGCTCAATGACAAAATAAGATGGGCAAGTATAGCTGTAAATGCGAATCCAAGATAGTCGGAGAAGGAAAGTGAAATTTAGATCTTTTTTGTGAAATATCTGTTCACATCTTTATAATGCAATTCGCGTCTGTCGGTCAAAAATATGAAAAATCGGAAGAACAAAACATGGCATGATACGTGCAAAATTACCCAAACCAGGAGGGACGGCCTTTAGTGTGAGATTCCAAAGATATTATTAGTTCATTCAAAAGACTTCCAAATTGGAACAATCTACTAGACAACCGCTTCAGGTCTTCCTACAACATCATCAAAAAATGGCCGCTGTGGCCCCGATAACGCTCATCCCCAGTATACACTCAGACCCCCCCATCTTTCGGCCTGAAAATGTGAACAAACCACTATTTAACGAGATAATTCACGAGATATTTCAGGAAGTTCGGAATTTCACCTTTTTTTTCGCTCGTTTTGGATAGGCATCCACAACTACTTATTTGTTTTTTTTTTATCATCATTGGACACTCACGATATCCCATTTTGTGAACGAAAATCAGCTAGATACTCAGACGAATATTTCTTTTATTCGTCTGAGGCTAGATATATAATGTTATTCTAATATTCTCATATTTAGTGAACAACGACACCTGCTGATGACAAGATTCAACCATCAAAGTGGAAAAAGATTGAAGAAGGAAGAAGCAATTTGTCTGAATTTTATTTGTCTTGTACTTCTGTTTATATGATCTTTATTTGACATCTCGTATTTGTAGCTTACGTCTTTGATAAATGAAAAATCGGATGGCCGTCAGCTGGTTTAATAATTGTTCACTAAATATATGGAAAAAATGCTAGAATATCATATTTTTTGTTGATTTTCATATATAAAATATGTCATTGAAGTACATCATGAGTATATCGAGTGCCAAATGGCAAGTAGCCGTAAATGCGTATCCAAGACAGGCGAAAATGGAGGCGACCGAAATTCGTGTTTTTCAGACGAAAATGTTAAAAAAAAAAACAAATTATCAAAAGCGATTAGTGTGGAATTCCAAAGAGATTATCATTCCAATACAAAAAACTTCAACATTGAAACAACTTGCCAGATAAACGCTTCACGTCTTCCTACACCACCATCAAAATGGCCGCTACCACCCGACAACGCTCTTCCCGAGTACCCAACTCGCGCACCCCATAGAACCCCATCAATCGTCCTGGTCCTCGTGCTTCAAGTGCCCCCCGTTGAGGGGCTGCTCGTGGTCTCAGCCCGGCCTTTCTCCCACCCCTAAGCCGCCGCCTGCGTACTGGCAGGCCGACAGCCCGGCCGAGGAGGACCGCACTGGGCTGACGCTGGAGTAGCCCACGAAGCCCGTGTGCTGCTTGGCCTTGAGCCGAAGCGAGGCTATGCTGGTAGACATGGCGGTGCATGGTTCAGCGCTCGTCCTGCAATGAGAATGGTGGTCTTAACTCGAGGTTGGTTGACATGGTTACATTTGTCGAGAACACATGCGTCAAGCCAGACCAGCGAATCTTTCAAACCTCAAGGTTATCAGAAGGTTATTCGTGTTTGTAAGACTTATTAGGTAATATGAGGAAGGAAAATATCTTTTCTGCATGAAAAAGGAAAGCACTCTCAACCTGACTTGAGGGATTGAACCCCAGTCACCACCGTGAAGTCTGATACACAGACCAATAAGCTATCGCTCAACCTCAACTCGTAGTAGCCGTAGTTTCTCAATATAAAGGATGAATAAATATTATGTATTGTGGGTGACGTCACTTGACCTTGGACTTAGAAAGATTCGCTGGTTTAGCTAGATGCTTGTGTCAAGAACTGACGACACTTATTTATAAAAGGGAGGAAGGTAAGCCCGAAATCGTCTGCACACAATTTATTTAACTACGAAGGCGATGAATGGCCATCTATACTTTTTTCTCGAATCCCGACTTTATTCTCGGGATCCTGACATTAAAGTCGGACCCCTGACTTCAATCTATCGGGATCCCGAATGAAATCTACTCTCTACTATTCCAACTCTCAACTTCTGTGACTATGTAATATTCGGTTATTGAATTTCACTCTAAAGTGATGACATTGATGACACTAACTTGGGTCGTGAGTGGATGGTTCACTTTCGAGATTGTTTCTTTCCACTCTATCTTTGTGATTATTCAATATACAGGGTGTTTCAAAAAAACCTAACCCCCTTGCTAGGGTAGGTAGAACATTGCAAAATAAGTTGGGTTTGCTCAGTAAAAAAATGTCGTAACGCCATCTGTTTTCAAGATACAAGGTGTTGAAACAATATCTTTTCTACACATTTTTTACGATTATGTTGAAACTACTGGCAACATTGTGATGAAATTTTGTATGGATGTTTCTTGGGATCTGACACATCGCATGCATTTGTTTTTATATCTGACTCTCATAGAGGGCGCTAGTTACACGGTTCGTACCGAATAGTTTTGAACATAACTTTTTTGAGGTTAGATTTTTCAATCCATTTTGATGTTAACTTGAACATCATTCAATTCCACACCAAAAAGGTACTCCTGATAAAACTCAATACTATGTTCCGTTTTCGGAATATTTCGATTTGAAAATGATGAAGTGATAACTGTTGCTGGTATATAAAGCTATGTATTAGAGTGAGTATTATGAAAAATTATCACCTATTTATTGAAAACCGAAAACAACAATACATTTCTGATGCAAAACTCATTGATTTAACAATGAATCAGAAGAATAACATCGAAACAGATTTGACTAAGAACATGGATTATGCTACATAGGTAAATTCACGTCAAGAGTTGTGAGGCATAATCGAACATCACTTAAATGACCTAACAGCTGATCCTCAACTGTTCAGAAGAATAATACATTCTTAAAAAGAGAATATAGAATCGTGTATTCCTCGAAACGTAGGACATTTTGAACACTTACTCTAACTGATTCAATCATAGACCTATTAGCCTGGGATAATTAGGTCTATGGATTCAATATTTCATGTTTCTAGTCAAATATCTCTTAATTTTCTACTCATGATTCTTTGTTCCATCAATAACTTCAGCACAAGAATAATTTTATTGTTTTTGAACATGAATGAATAGGTAATTGAACTCAATAAAATTCATTTTATACCAGCATCATTACTACTCCATTATTTTCAAATCGAAATATTCCGAAAACGGAATATAGTATCGAGTTTCACCAGGAGTACCTTTTTGGTGTTAAATTGAATGATGTTCAAGTTCATATCATTTTTGGATTGAAAAATCTAACCTCAAAAAATGTTCAAAACTACTCGGTACGAACCGTGTAACTAGCGCCCTCTATGAGAGTTAGATATAAAAACAAATTCATGCGATGTGTCAGATATCAAAAAACATCCATACAAAATTTCACTACAATGTTGTCAGTTGTTTCGGAATAATCGTGAAAAATGTGTGAAAAAATAATTTCTTCAACACCTTGTATCATGTTAACGGATGCCGTTACGACATTTTTTCACTGAGCAAACCCAACTTATTTTGCAATGTTCTACCTATCCTAGCAAGGGGGTTGGGTTTTTTTGAAACACCCTGTATAAATAAATAGAGTGAGTTTGGAAATGCTTGCATTGAAAATTTACACTAATTCAATTGAAAAAATCACACTATAATATACTAAACTATGGAGTTAAATCATTTACGCTAAGGCTTAGTGGTCCTCCTGGGAACAGGTATAGTGTTAAATTTTTTTTACTGCGTATGGTTAGGAAAGGCACTCTTTGAGACACACTCATCCAAAAGAGAGGATGAAGTCTTAGACTTTTCAATGATTTTAACATGTTCCCTAACTCTAGTTGAAATCTTCCTATAGCACTTTGCCCAACATATTGAGCATTGCAGTTCGGATGTGAACAAGAAATACAATATACTCCAGAATTATGATTCAGTGGGACTTTATTTTTATTGTTGACAAACTTTTATGAAATATTATAAACTTTGTTGAAGAGTATATTGATATCTTTATGTTATCTATGAAAAATGTTTTAGATATTATGTGAGACCTTACCAAGGAAAGGCATGTACGAAGAACGTGTTCTAGAATTTTGCGAAGGTAGTAAACAGTCATTGATAGATTTATTATGATGGTTACTGCGAGAATGTGTCTGGTGGAAAACCGTTATTTTGTGCAATTTGTTTGGTATCGATATGTTGCTGATTGTCTGGTATTATTTGTGGGCACATTGCAAGAAGTCAATCTCCTGGATTTTTAAATTCCTCACACCAAGCTATAAAATTCAACATGGAACTTGCAGTTAATGATTCCCTTGTAATGACGATTTCGAGCTTTCCTTCCTTCCTATGACAATACCACTCCACTTTGAGCAATATGGACTTCTACCAAAGAGTAACTTATTTATAAGGTTCTTGTTCAAAGAGTGTCCATAAGTAATACATGCCATATTTTTCACTTAATAACTCTTTAGGTGCAAGTATGTGTGGGTCGGTATATGGCCTGTATACACACTTAGTTTGAATTGTCGTATTTGGTGAGAGGAATTTTTGGAAACCTGTGGCAGAGCCGAATACAGTGGTGATTCTCTAGTGTTCTTCTTGAATTTGTGGAGGTTATATGCCTCGGGGAACACCTACCTTGGCAATGTGTTTCAGAGCCTCGCTGTTCGTTATAGATGAACGAGTCTTTGGAAAGAGATGTTCTGCAAACTGACTGCCAAGGGAGGAACAATTGTTGATATTTCAGAAGAGCATCGTCCATGGAAATATCTATAAAATAGAGCCAGATCGCCAACTTTTCTACGGTGTTCCAGAGAAGTGAGTGAGTTTGTGAGCGAGGTATCACCCACGAGACGAATTGCCCTTTTTTGGACAGAATCCAACAGTTTCAGGGTATGTGTGGGTGCTGCACTCCAAATATGGGAACAGTATTCCAGGACAGTTCGGATCTGTGCCTTATAGATCATAAGCAGCTGACTGGAAGTGAAATAGCTCCTAGACCGGAACAGAAAATCAAGTTTTTGGGATGCACTTTTAGCAATTGATCTCACGTGATTTTCCCGAGAAAGGTTATTGCTGATAGTAATACCAAGCATAGAAATGGATGGTTACTCCTGACAAGCTTATGTTGGGCACAGTGAGATCGGTTTTTCTAGAGAAAAGGCATGCTTGTGTTTTGTTTGCATTGCAATCTACCAAGTTATTGGATTCCCATTCGAGAATTGTTGCCAAGTCCATATTTTATGTTATCAACATTTCTCCCTCGTTCGTTTCTGATTTGCCTGGCTGGTATTGGAGCCCTGGAAGAGAAGGCGGTATGGAGGGTACTATCATCCGCGAAGCTGTGTACTGGACATGAAGTTGCTTCCCACAAATCTCTGATTCAATCGGATCATTAGATGGAAAGGGAACAAGAACCTTATATAGAGATTTCCAACTGTTGTGTCGTCAAGTTTGGCCGAAACAAAAGCGCACCAGTGCTCACCTGTGATGGTACATCGTGTAGGGGTTGGCCGGCGTGGTATACGGGCACTGCTGGGCAGACACCGACCCCGCAGAACTGGTCATCACGCCGCCCATGCCGCCCGGCAGCATCGAACCCACCGCTCCGCCCATCGAGGTCGACGTGGCCGCGTTGAAGCAGTTGACGGGGCTCTGGTGGTGGTTGGTGGGCACCACGGGCCAGAAGGGCTTGGCGCCCAACGGGCTGGGCACCTTGGCAGCCCAGTTGTTGTAGGTGGAGTAGGAGTAGAAGCTGTCGTCGGCGATGGTGGGCATGAGGCCGTTGAACTGCGTGCCGAAGCCGGTCTTGAACTCGGCCGCGGCGTTCATGGCGTTCATGGCGTTGCGTTCGCGCTTGCGCCATTTGGCACGGCGGTTCTTGAACCACACCTGGAACAATGGGAAAGGTCGATTAGTAATTAGAGCCTAGCCATAGAACCACTATACGGGAAATATTGCCACGGTGGCAAGTAAAATAGTTTTTTCTGTGACGGGAAAAAAGTTTGGCATTTCATCTCTGTTGGCAGGTTATAAAATGTCACTTTTCATAAATTACTTTGAGTACTTTTTTCCCGGATATAATATCACATATATATACACTGTTGATGGCTTTTGTTGTGCAATAGTTCCGAAAAATGAGTCAATAATACCGTCTCCGAGAAAGAACTGCAAGTCCTTTTATCTTCCATTCGACTTCGCGGTTACGTATATTACTAAACAACCACTAAATTCGCAATTTTTTCAAATCAAATCAAAGAATTAGACTGACAGAAGTGACATAAGATATTTGATTACTTCAAAAGAATGATAAAGATGCCTACAACGCAGGTGCCCCTACTATTAAAAACTCAAAATTTCACGTCGATAATTTTCAGATTTCAAAATAATGTAATATCTTCTCGATATAGATTCGTCCTTTCTTCTGTCACAGAAAAAAATAGTGTATTATACACGGGAAAAATATTTGCTCACGGTTTTTTGTGTCCCTCTGCTACGCGTCGGGAGACAACACAGCCTGGAGCTAAAATCTACTACTTTTTTCCCTTGTATAATAAATAACTATTATTTGTAGTTTGTTTCGCCAGAAGCGTGGTGGTCATTAGAGTAGTGTTCCTTCCTCAAAAGACAGGGGTTCGATCCCTACTCCAGCTAATCTTTTTTTTATTTTTTTTTTCGAAGTAAGTAATCGAAATGCGAATTCGTGTTGAATTTTTGCACTTTTCATGCTTCTTGTACGATAAAAAAAATTGATCCGAGGCCAAACAAGGCATCATGATGGATGTTAAATGATCCGTGAACAACGTTGGCGTACCGAATTGTCATGAATTGGTAGGGAGTCCTGTGTGCTTTGTCGCGCTTATCAAACTCCAATTTAGCCGAGTTTATACGTCGTTTCATGGACTTTTTTCTCGACTGCTTTTTCGATTGAGTCGTCAGAGTCGAAGGTTGAATGTTGGCGAGCTGCCTTCCCATGGAAATCAATCCGTCAAGGCCCATAAGAAGTATATTGAAATGGGGCGAGTTAGCATTAGAAACATTTGATTATATGGCTGAGATTTCAGGGTACAAAAGCCCTAATTGAACATCAGATAGAAATGAGATCTCAGAAATGCGAGTATGAGTTAGTGTAATGTTATAGCTAGTTACATATTAAGTTACAAAATGTGTGAAACGTTATAAAGTATCACTCCCTGAAATACTTTCATTTTCGGCAGTTTTTGAGAAATTTCGGAATCTCGATCACATTATTCTCCTTACGAATTTGAATTAGTCTTCGCGATTTTCCAGAATTTCAAAGCGAGAACTATAAAACTACATCAACAATGTCCCTTTGAGTTTTTCTGACTCAGCTAAAAATCTTGGAGTATGGACCGATTCCTCCCTACAATTTCATAAACATATCTCTGAATGTATAAAGAAGTCAATCTGGAAACTGAAACTCCTCACGTTACTTATTGAACATCTAAGAACTGTACTCATTAACTCGCTAGTTTTGTCAACGTTTAACCATTGTGACACTGTTTACGGTCCATGTCTCACGGCAGTTGATGCTCAAAGAATACAAAAAACACAGAATCACTGTTTGCGTTTCATCTTCAGTATAAGAAAGATGCAACCCATTCGTCATAAGCTTACTGAAGCTGGTTGTCTAAATATAAAATTTCTTCGTACACTTCACTGTGCCACGCTGTACCATAGAATCATTTTATCGAAACAGCCAAGTTATCTATTTAAGAAAATCAGATGTTCACAAACTGAACATACGATCAAAGGGTATTATAACTCCATCTATTCACAGATCGAGCATGTTTGAGAGAAGTTTTTCATATAACGTTTCTGCTAGATACAACTCCATTCCGAACTCTGTCAAAGACAGGTCTATCTCTATTTTTCATAAAGCCTGCAGTGAACTTTATCTGACTCTTCAATGAGACTGAGTCTATTGAGGCCTTTTAAGCCAGTTAAACAATATTTTTGTCATTAAAGCTATGAGCATTTTACTACTTTAGAACTATATTGTTTGACATTCGTAGAGAAAATTTTGTTTGCAACTCTGGTCATGTCGATTATCTTTTAACTCGGCTGCACCTCTTTAAAAAAATCAGATCTCGATCACCAAAGTAGCACTTCGTGCACTAGATACAAAAACAACTATTGTGTAATTTGATAAAGAACTAAGAAAGCTTCGATAAGACAATACAACGACCTGTGACCTCTCGATTTCAATGGAGAAAATAGCGAAAATCAGCATATATCTTAATTTCTGGTAGAACAGACCTTCCTGAATCGACCAAGACCTGAGCAGATCGCCCATTTATTTCCAAAAAGAGCGACTCATCAGAAAGCCACCAGGTTTTGAGTAATTTCAGATTTTTGAATAAATATATGTCCTCAATGGGTTTGAACGTTACCATCGAAACTCGTGGGTAACGGTTTGAATCAGTCTTCTCGATTTTTTTTTTCGTTTTTCATACCCAGAATTAGAAAATCACAAAATATACCAAGAAAGTCCCTCAAGACGATACAACGACTTTCCCATGCAACAATAAGGGTTCCGAAGTTAGTCTGGTCTGGGGCTACTCTTGACTTGACAAGAGCTCGTTGTAATGGTCATTATAAAGTAAGTTGTTATTAGGTCTTTATATTCATTGTTGTTTATTCATATTTATAATCACTTCACCCATAATGTTTCATGCTATTATAAATATTGTTATGTTTGAATATAGTCTCGTACTTACAGATACCCCTAAAGTATTAGTGCCTATATTCGAATATTACCCCTCGTAAACTATTAAGCCAAGCATTACCCCTTCTGAATCGATATGGATGGACTAACCATCTATTTTATCGTGACATGGTGGAGAAATCAACCCTTTTATCGTGACATGGTGAAGGCGCCAATGGCTCGTTCCCGAGGTTGGTTCTTCCTAACCAACCTCACATTTCAAAATCTCATGTTCTTTTGTTTTTTGAATCAGATTATTCTTATTTCATTGAAGTCAAACAAATATTTCAGTAAGACAGTTCTCATTATTTTGAGTATTGATTATAAAAATGTGTTTTTACATGGGGCATCTAGCCAGGATTTGCGAACGGTCCAGCATGCTAAAACTGGACTGCTCGGTTTGATCTTCAAATGGGGCGTTTCTGGTAATGCACACAGATAGGCATGCCTGAACCATCTGTATATACCCCATACAAAAACTGAGTAAAAAATATTAATTCATTTTTAACAACAAATAACCATTCTATCGTGTAATTAGATATACCGGGTGTCCCAGTATACCTGTTCCAATGGATTACCTCAGTCATTTCATTCGTTCAAGGAACCTTCAACTGAGAAAAACGAAAATTGAATTACGAGATTCACGTCCATACAACATGAATACATGTCTGAAATAATCGTACGTTAGTGATGGTAATCCTGTAGCATCAAATTCGTGTTTTCAGAATGGCAATCCTAATGCCAAAAAAGAGAAAGAATGTCCTCTCCGAATGAGTTCAGTAACTATAGCTTTGCGGTTCGCGAATCACATCCGATAACTCATTTAGCTTTAACACGCATGTCGCTAAATCATATTCAGCGTGCAATGTTAATGAGATATGCATCCGGAGCATGTGATATAGTGGCCGTAGAGTAAATTCCGTAGGGCCAAGTACGAATACACAAACGCATATACGGACCACTGGCGGAACAGGCGCGCGTCGCTAATCCCTCCATGATTAACACCATAAATCTGGGGGGGATTAGCGCCGCGAGATCGCCACGTACAGGGCCGCCGTGGATTTCGCAGATTTATTGTCGGGCTGTCATTGTCGCGAAACGGATATTTCACGAAAAACAATGTCGCGATCGCGGATACTCTATCCGACTTTCTAACTATCCCATCAGTAAACACAAAACATCACTGGGATGTCACATTCATGTCTGGCAAGGTGACCATGTCAATTACAAGAAAACATCATTGGTATTGCCAGGGAATCTTTAATTCACAAAACATTTGCAATATTCGTCTCATTCTATATTGGATTTGAGACGAAAATGTAGGCGCCTTTTGTCTGATAATGTTATTTCTTTTAGCAAACTGAATCAATCAATTTTCATGTTGAATAACTCCGAGTTTCATTTGGCATCACAAGGTAAATCATAAACTACCAAAAATACCCGGAATAGCAGTCGTTGTGATTCCAGTGGGACTCTAAATTATATTCAGGGATGTGATGTCATCATAGACCAATCAGATGATACTATAGAGATCAAAAAGAGAAGATTGATTCAATATATGTGCTGGCTGATCTTAATTTTCAAGATAATATTGTATTATTATGACAAACTGCCAAAGGATATATCGTAAACCAACTTAATAATTCTTAGAATCAAATCTCGAAACATTTTTGGCTACAGTACCATCACCATCGGGAGAGATTTGTGAAAGTAAATTAACTTGTTTGAGGTTAGAATTTGAAATAATTTTGAAAATAATAAATTTAGCAGGTTTGGGAGCGGGTCTGGTGTAGAAGTATGTAAAGAAGGAACAGGGAAAGGAATCTCAGCACCTCTTGGCAAATACGCCTCAGTGTTCCAGGCCGAAGTGTTTGCAATACTGACGTGTGACCAAGAAAATTTTGGCAGAAGTGGACGTGGACCAATGGGCGTGTATACCTTGGTAGAACTTTCGACTCAAACCATGTTTATAATGACCCTTTCATACATAAATGATGATTGACGACATAATTCGATCGAGAAATTCACTGGAATGTTCAATTTTTGGACATAAATAATAGTACCATCTGAAAACGGACCCTCTCATGACGTAGAAACCTCATCTCGCCATCGTTAAAAGAAAATACGAAACGCCGGACGGAGACTGAGGCAACTGATATATTAATTCTTCCAACGGTGATCTCGCGCTAATTCACTCTGCCAGAAATTATGTATCATTCATCTCCGTCTGGAATAGTCCTGTTTCAGTATTAGGGTTTTGACGTCACATCATCGCCTCGTTTTCAGAGGTCCGAAAAATCGGAGATTTCAATAATTTTTTAAAAAACGTAGGGAGCTCACAGCAAGAAACGGTTTGCGGTGGTGAGCTAGTTTGGGTAAGTTCTATCGAATTATGGAATAAAAATTTTTTGTGATATAAGCCCATTACCATATGCTCGGACAGCAAAGCTGTTATTATGGCATTGAGATTCAATAGGATCACAACTGAATTGGTGTCTGATGTAGAAGTGCCTTGAAAAATATGGCAAAAACCTTCATGGAGGAGATGGTACAGAGGCAGTTCCTTGAAAGATGGCGGGACATACCAGGAATGAGACAATCAAAGCTCCATACAGGGTGTTTCATTGGGAAAGGTAAATAATTCAACTGTGGATAGGGGGCACTGGGGTGATTTCAAAAAAACCATGGAAGATGGGTCTTCGACTTCTTATAACCGAGATACGAAGAGTGCTTTGGAAGGAACGCCAACAGTTTTGTTTAACCATTGTCCTTTTAGATGAAAACCTAGTTAGGTAGTTAGTAGGCAGGAGCTATAAAATTGTCTGTTCATTGAAACGAGAAATGATGAAAATATGTATCTTGACCAAGAGCCCTGAACAATAGGAAACCATATATCTGAAGACAATTCCTATATACAATCTTGAAATCACTTTACTCTAGTGAAATTCTGATTGGCTCAGTACGAAAATGGTCCTGAGTGAGCTTGAGTGGAATATCACATGTTCCTCACCATCTAAGTGATTGCTGGAAACTACAGGATAAAAAAAACCTGATTTTATTCACTGTCCCCTTTTCTTGTGTGTTTTTTCATAAAATCTGGTGAACTGGATATTTTTGCAAGTCAGATCATCTAAATTTTCTCAAAAATCGAATAATCTCATGGCTGATTTATTCCATCTACTATGCATGCTAAATGTAGGTAATATAAGCAGGGGGTTTAAACAATTCATCAGCTGATATCATGCAAAAAATCTGGATATAGACACATTATTATGTAGGTACAAAACTTACATCAATGAATATATGTATCAAATTCTTCTCAGGCCTCTGATATTGTAGCTTGATAATAATGAAGGGCTAGGATAGGCACCCAGTATCATGCAGACACTATTAACGAAATAGGGGACTGCCTACTACGGAATAAGCTTGACTTTCAAGGAGGTACCTACCTATAAAACATATAATGATATTTTGTGTTTGGAGCAGAATATCCATAAGACATTGATGAAATAACCAGATTAAGTATAACCTTATTGCTTCCATTTATTCATTTCAGATGGGAAATTTCCCATTCTGTTCTCGCACATCATTATCCTTCTGGTACATTTCTTCTGAACAATACTCACATAATGATTCCTATAATGTGATTCTTCCACATCAATTTGTTTCTATCACTCATGGTTTTCCGTTTTTCAACTGAAAAGCTATTCATGTAGGTGTTCCCTGACAAGGTAATTTCCAACAACGAAGACATATACGTTGGCCAGCGCGGTCACCTGATCTCTCTCCGCTGGAATATTATTTATTGGGAACTATGAAAGATTTGAAGACGGGACATCTCGCGAGAAATTTCGAATCTGAGGAAACGCGTAGAATTGTGTTTAGAAGTAGAAAGTGAAGTATTCGAGCTTCTTTTATAACTTTGTTTTGTTTAGTAAAGAATAAACTTCTAGCTTATTATTTCGATCCTAAGTCAAACCCATAGTTTTTAAGTAGATGAGCTTGTTGTAAATGAAAATGTGAACTTCACCCCTACCACCATCCCCTCTGCCTGACGTCCCCCCCCACGTATAATATTCGCGGCACCGCTCGCGCCGTCATCTTCCATTAGGTCCCTCTCGCTGGGGGCGAGTGGGGTCGACCCCGTTCCCCGCTACGGCCTGGCCAACGACCCGTCTAATTGCGGCGTCGGAATGAAGATCGACGAGGCGCGCTATTGGCCGCGACGCGACGTCGACTTATGGGGGGAAAGCGTCGGAAAAACGGTGGAGCAAGGGCGCCTTTCTCGCATTGTGTTTTATTATGTTGGGCGCGGAAAATCTAAAACATGGCGGGAGGATTGGACCCTGTTATGCTATGGTATAGGGCACCGACTGACTATTATGTAAAAAACGATCGCGAACTTATAATATACCCAATGGGCACATGATATAGTATCAGAAAGGTGATGAGGACTGTCAACTGTTTGGAGACAATGTTGAAGACAATGTTTGGCATTGCCCTTGTCCTCCCTTTCTCCAATTTTCTATAATAATAATTTCACAAAGAATGTTTCTGCACGTATCGAAATGTCTTTATTTCTCTTCTTTCATCATATTAAATTATACTTTCAATTTCCCGAGAGTCTTTGTTTGTATAAATTGAAATATAATTTCAATTCGTAGTAAAGACAAATTAGATAGATGGTCAAAAAATGATATACTGATGCGTTGAAAAAATTCCACTTTCATAAATCTGGAAGAGACATCTCTTAAACTAATAATTATACAATGATACCTTGTTTGTGCTCAATACAAATGCATTGACATAATACTCAGATTTTTATTAGAGAAAAAGAGGAGAAAACATGCCAAATTGTCTCGATAAATGAACATCTACCTCATCCTCCATTTTCCTTGCTCTTCTCATTATTTACATTCTTCCTTTCCCCCCTCACTGGTATTCACTGCAATGAATGGGTATTTCTATTTTTTATCAACTTTCTCTGATTACCAGACTGAATTGCTACGAGTGAAGAATACTTCTGAAATTTCTTCGAGAAAAATTCCAATTTCTCCTCTGATATATCAAAAACAAAATGAAATGAACTTACATTTTAGGCTATATAGAGTTAGACTATCTAAGTACAGGAAACAAGATGGACTACGTCATCGATTAATCTAATAAGGTAGAAGTCCATAATATCATCTCAAAGTGAAGTGAGTCTAATAATATCTTGTTTCCTAAGTACCTATATCCCTTTGAGATAGTATTAGGTATGGACTTTCTACATCAGATTAGTAATAAATAAATATAGTTGACCAGTGACCTACTATAGTCCTAGGTCTTCCGCCTTTCCGCCAAGACCTTGCGTTGCGCTCTCGCTCTGATGACTGAAATACCTCGGTTAATTCAATCCGATGACTATCCACCCACGTGACCGACTAATACATCAACCTAACCTTAATTTCGTGGCGATCGAACCAGGGACGCGCACGTGCCGATCCGGAATTAAACAGCCCCAGTCGGTCGCCGAAATCAGCATGTAAAGTGATTTAGAATGAGCCGTGCGAGCGGCCCTCTGCCCTTTTGACGGGCGGCCAGTTATTGCCCGGCCCTGCGGGGCGCCGACCTATATGAGCACCCCCGCAGGTTCGCCTTCACTGCGACTTGTTAATCAGACGAGAGAGACTTTCAACTCTTGCTCGATCGGTTTGATGGATTGAGGAGGTCGCACATCAGGTTTTGTTGTTCAAAATTGACTCAATAGCTAACCTTTTTAGCATACCTACAGTTTGTCATCCTTGAAGATAAATCCGGCTTTTTCATTAAAAAACGACAACTTAAAGTTTTGAAATGGCGGCTAAGCACCCCGTATTTTAAACCATTTTCGGAATCTTCTCATAATTCTCAACAATATCATCTACAACACTCTACTCCTGAATTCAAAAGTATTCGAAATATTATCGTTCGAAAAGCCAACTAAAAACTAGAATGATGCTTTTTCATGTTTGCTTTGGAAAAAATCAAAATGTCACTTTTCGAACGTTAATATTTCAAAAACTATTGAATGTAGGAGTGAAATAATATATGTATTCGGTGTTCCATTAAAAAATTCATGATGGTGCTCCGCCGCCATTTTGAAACTTGAAGCTGTAATTTTTACATCCAAAAGTGGTTAAAAAATTAGTAGGAGGGAACGGACCTTAGACGGGCACTGTATATGTTGCTAGTAGCCAAAATTGGAAAAGTAATTTTGTTACCTTTGCCCGTTGCAAGTTCGTTTATACATGTTTCATTTTGGCCCTACTAAGTGTACCTGATATGTAGGTGGCCCACAGTAAGATGCCCTTATATATGTTGTTCGTTTTGTTTTTGAAGAAAACAGCATCAATTAGGAATAAAGATTAATATTGAGAATCATGACGAACTATATTACAGGGATAATCTACACACATGTAAGTATTTCTTGGTCTGGATGAACCATTGTCGGTCTAAATGAAAACCTAGTAGGCGACCCAGTGCGAGGAGGTATTAGCTCTTGCCTATTAACTACCTAACTAGGTTGTCATCTAGAAAGACAATGGATGAACCATCAGACATATTTCTTCTGATATACTATAATTTGATGAGAAATGGTGTTTAGCAACAACAACAAACAACACATATATTCTTTAGTCTGAACAAAGTAAGTACAGGTTCCGGCAACAGGATTGATGGGTTTTGAAAAGGTTGCTGTGGAAATACTGTTTATTTGACAAACGTCGAATAGTGATAAAATAGTAGTTCATTATAGGGGGTGTTGTGCTACAATGGAAAATTGGCAGGTTAATCAACGAATCATAGCTGTGAAATCAATTATCCTGACCCAGTCCATCGTGCGAACCCAGAGGCGTTTTCACTCAGGAACAATCACTACTGGACCAAACAACAAAACCATCAGATGAATTTCCTTTGGTGAAAACGTGATACCTACCTTAACATTAGCTTTTCATCGTACTATATAGTAGATATAGATGATCACCAGTATATTCAATCAGAAATATTGAGGATTATGCATGAAAATCCGGGGTTCCAATTAAAAAAGAGCAGGAATGGTGCTATCTTTTATTTGGACAAGGTATATTCTAGCCTAAACAGGGGAGCAGCTGCTGCGACTGTATTCTGTGATTTCTCCAAAGCATTCGACTGCGTAAATCACGAAAAACTGCTGCGGAAGCTGCACCACTACGACTTCACAGATAGACACACCTGACCGGTCGTCAATAAGTTGTTAAAACAAACACTACCTCAGAGACCGCGCAGATAAATCATGGTGTGCCTCAAGGATCAGTCCTAGGGCCAATCTCATTCCTCTTATATATTAATGATATGGTATTTCTTGATATAAAAGGCGAAATCACGTTATTTGCGGACGACACCACTATTCTATCGCAAGACAATAATGATGAGATTTATCATACACGAATATGATACGAGATATAAAAGTAATCAAAGATTGGTGTGACTCAAACCCACTTTCTCTCAATTTTGAGAAAACCAATATTCTGACTGTTCATTGTAATGTCCCAAACTTGGAAATCGGTTGTTGTTGTCAAATAGTGTATGATTTTGAAACTAGTGTTGTTCATTCATTCATTTTTTACGTATATTATGTGTGACAAGCTTTTTCAACAAGTGAGAACTTAGGACAATAACGTTTATTTTGAATTGAATTGAATTGAATCGGTAACAGAAAATACGAACTTATCTGGTGTTCAATGGAACAGACAAAAAATGTGAACTCATTTTCATAGTGATCAACGGAAAAGGAACCCAATCAACAAGCAATCCCCTTCAGCCTCTATCCTCCCATTCCCGTATCTAATAAATAAATTCTAGTCGACGTGCGATTTGTAGAAGAGAACGCGGAGCATATTAGCAGCAGGAGCACATCTAAGAGCCGAATGCGAACTCCGGCGGCATTCCGGGAAGATCCGGGAAATCCCGCTAGATCCTCCGGGCCTACGTTAACGGCCTCGCCGCTCTTCGAAGGAATTTGTTTTTAATGAAGTGCGGTTTGTGCCGTTCCATGCATTCTGTGTCGTGGTGGAGATTTTGCGTTCCGTGGTTTCTACTGCTCTCGAAACAAAAGTTCTTCGTGCACATCCAATATATGTATATACATCATTTTATTAGATATGCACGTTTCTCATGAGAGTTCCTTGGTCAGTTTTTATAATTGAATGTCAACGGATGATTGACTTTATGTTTATAAAACCCTCATGGTTCGAAATTTCTTATATACCGTCTGTTCTACTAGTGACAATATTCAAATAAATACAAAGAGCTCATAGTCATATATCCACACAATGTTCATAAAATGAACAACAATGGTAGATTTCGGGAGAAAAACAACTACTTTCCTGGCTAATAACACGCAGAACATTGAATTACATCCTCCTGAAATCTATGCATCGACTCGTATAAACGAATACTGATACAAGTGATTCTTTCCTGAATGCCTATTGATTTCGATATAGCCAGGCCACGCTAGACATTTACAGACCGGTTTCGAGCTCTTTGACTCTCATCAGTGCAGGGCAGTCCCAACTACCATTGTTGTATATTTTATTGAGATCTATGTAACCACCAATTCACACATTCGTTGTTGATATACATATAATGTATGTATGACCAACAATATCCAATGTATCCGACTCTGCCAAAAGATTCCACAAATTCCACTCACAAAATATAACAATTCAAAATAGGTGTATATATGGCCATATAAAACTTTGCTTAATTGAAGAGTCAATTATTTTTATTATTTCATTTGAATGAGGATTGTTTGCCATCATAGAAAAGAGATTGTCAACGCGTATAATTTTTGAACTATCTAAACACAATAAGCTTCCGCTGTGGTGCAGATATAATTATGTGGTTTTTTTTATCTTGTGTATTGCATTGTATTGAGTGACCAAAAAAAAATCTCCATTCGTTTGAAACTTGGGATAATTTTACATGGTGTTTCATTATTGTAGCACGAAACTTCAAGGTCAGATTCTTTAGGTCAAAATAAAAAAAGTGTTCATACACATAATATGTCCGAAAACGATTCGTTTGCGAGATACGAGACACAAGCAAGTAAGTACATCCTTATGTCTAATGTATAACAGAGTGGAAACTGTACTTAGGAAACAATATGTACAGTTTTAAAATGGTGAGGTAGTGCGTTAATTTTGCTTGTCAGTGTATCTTAGAATGATATATATATATACTATTTTATGTATCTATTTTATCTAATAGATATTATTTTACGAGTATTTTTCCTATTTCTATAAGGCTTTGTTTGTTCAGGTAGGTACTTGGAGTCAAGAAGCGGTCCAAATCAAAAGCGA